CCCCAACTTCTGCAAGTGAGTAACTGTTTTTCTGCAGCAGAAGCCAGATTTCTGGCTACCTCTTAGATACCTGATAGTCCACCTGAATTTTTAAATTCAGTTTAAATTCAAGTCACTCAATTGGCTGAAGTGGGGAAAAGAAGCAAAATATTGATTTCTTAATCCGAAACAACCTGTTGTTTTACCTAAGAAATAAAAGGCATGTGAGTGGTAAACACATTCATGCATTTCTTATCATATATAAGAAACATATAGCTAAAATATTTGGCTACAGACATAATGCTCTGGCATTCATACTTCCTTTTGATCTTTGTAGGATTTTTTCTCAGATAGACGGAAAAAGAAAAACCCAGTGTACTTAGAGGTTTCAATTTTTTAAAAAAAAAAAGTCAGGCATGCAACTTTTTAAAAAATATTAAAATATGTTCAGTTAATTTTGAATGTGTAGTCATTTCTCATATGAACTACAGGAAGCAATGTACCTTTTTTTGATGACCTTATGTTCAAAAAGAATGAAAATGGGACTGCTATTCTGGAGGTAATTTATTGTTTTCTAGGTGGATGCATACCGCTTCCCATAATTATTTATTTAATTTTTTTATACCACACATCTGACTGCCAAGGCCACTCTCTGGGCGGTTTCCAAAACAATATAAAACAGTAACATAACAACGAGAATCAACAACCAGAAACAAAATATAAAAGGAACTAAAAAAAATTACACTAGGAGACCACATAATAAAAGCATAGTCAAGTAAAGTAAAATAATGGAATGGAATATAATGACTGGAAGCTATCGTTTTTTGGAATGGTTTTTTTAAAGCTCAACTTTCTTCTATCTTTTAAAAAAGAAAGACTACAGTTAAAAATAGATAGATAAAAATGAACCACAATTTTTTTAAAAAAGGCCTCTCCTATCAGACAAATTCAATAGGCCTGGGTACTCCTGCTATACTACTAATAATAATACTTTTAGAACTGCACAGCTGGAAGGGGCCCTCTTGATCACTGAGTCCAGCTCCTGTCAAGGAAACACAGTCGGGAATCAAACTCCCAACCTCTGGCTTTGTAGCCAGATACCCAAACCACTGAGCTATCTAGTATGTAGGAGACAATGTTGTAGCGGCCTTGCACCTTGAGCCTCTCCCAAAAAAGAGAGATCGTTCAAGCGCAACACATTTGAATACAGAGAATGCAAACCTAGACTCGTAAGCGTTCAAAGTCCTACCAGCCCTGGATGGACATATATTTCAGGTTCAGCTTCTCTCACATTCAGATAATTTATACATTCATTCTCTACACCCAGCCGTACTCTTTATATCTCAAAAAGAATATAGCTAAAATCACAGCTCTGAAACCATTTGGTCAGTGATGGTTTGATCAAACCATCCTTGTCAAACTGCAAAGTAGCCAGTATGTTAAGGGCAGACCACTTCTCGGCTGAGCCTGAATAAAATCAGCTTTTCTGGCTGCTAGGAGCTACAGTATATGACTCATCTCTCACTACAGGGTCTTTTAATCTGTAACAATCCAAAGTCATGGAGGGACAAACTTGCTATTTCTGTTCACTAGAGTTGGGCAACTTCAAAGGCTCTGTAACCTATTTCTCACCACCATCGCTACTGCAAGCTGCACCAGCTCTTACTGGCAACACTGGGATTCAGGGCCATTGGCTTCAAAGTGGCAACTTGCAGACTAACAAGCTTTAGCTTAGAAAGATTTTAAAAAAAATCAGTGAAAGGCCATGTGACCCTCCAAAAAATATGCAGAAGCAAGCATTACCTTTATTGGGCCACTGAAAAAATAAGTAGATAGCTACCTTTTGATGGTAATCCATCTTCATCAGGCTTTGCACCAAGACCTTCTGTACAGTTCACAAAAATTATGTTAGAGTCTTAAAGTTTCATGATTTGGCTGTTGTTCATGCCAGGCAAAGTTTTCTTCAGGTGAGTTGAGCAGTATGTAAACAGCCTGTAAGGGATGGGTGGCTGGAGACGCCTTCCTGAGCAGCACCAAAAGCTTTATCTAGTATCAACTTTTGTGGACTATAATGCACTGCATTTCAAGAAGTGGGATGTACAAATGGAGAACTGCACACCCTTGAGGCTTCTGGAGGCACAACTGTCCCTTTTCTTTTTTTAAAAAAAAAGGAAGACAACAGGGAGTTCCAAAATAACTTTGGAAATTGGGTTGTCACCTGCACCACATGTCACTATGTCACCCCTAAATCCTACCTGTCCCACATTGGAAACGACTTTTCTGCTCTCACATGATTGATATTCTAGTTTGCAGCTAATCTTCAAGTGCCTTCTGTCCTGAATAAAGTGTCTGAAGACAAGACAGGTCTGGTGGTTAGTGACAGAACAACTGAGGAGTGTGAGGGGATCCCCTCTTCTAGGCCCAGTCAGATCCCTTCACAGTGGAAGTTCTCAGTCCGACTGTGCTCCTGGACTCAATGTTGGATTGCATACTCTACATGAGGAACTTTGAGTATTCCTTTGAAACTTTAGAAATTTATGGGCGGGGAGGGGAAGCTGTGTTAATATTTTGTAGAAAAGAGATCAAAAAGTCTTGTGGCGGCTGAAAGACTAAAAGGTTTTATCTAGCACAAAATTTTGTGAACTGTAAAGAACTGCAACTCAAGAAGTGAGCTGCAGTTCACAAAAACTTGTGTTAAATAGACCTGGTTAGCTTTTAAAGTGCCACAAGGGGCTTTGCTTGTTTTTGCCAAAATGTCAGCAACTAAAGAATTACATGGCCTCATTACACAGAGTTCAAATCATCTACTCTGGTTGTTTTCTAGATATAATTCAAGTTCCAGATGTTACCTTCTGAAACACCTGGAATCTATTTTTATTAGGATCCTCTCCTCCATGCCTATCCATCCTTTGAGATCTGTGGGTTAGAATGGGAGAAAGCAGTCTATCTCTGATGCCTAGCTATTTCTTAGATTTGCACTCAGAATTCATAATCTTAGGACTTTCTGCTAGGATTACTGCAACGCCTTGCATCTGAGGGACTCTTTAAATTAGCTTTGAAACCACCCTGATGGTTCCTAGACCAGTGGTCCCCAAACTTGGGCCTCCAGATGTTCTTGGACTTCAACTCCCAGAAATCCTGGCCAGCAGAGGTGGTGGTGAAGGCTTCCGGGAGTTGTAGTTCAAGAACATCTGGAGGCCCAAAGTTGGGGACCAGTGTCCTAGAAAACTCCTAAACACAATCCAAAGAGTTGGTGTTGACACATGAAGCTCTAAAGAGCTGAGTAGCTCAGGAATTACCTTCTCCAACCCTGAACCTGCTGGACACAGGAACTGGGTGTTGTCCACACTTGGCTTGCAGTAGTGAGTGTCCTGCTATTGCTGTTCCCAGAAAGGACTGTTCGACTCCACGAGTGCTATTTTTTCAATAGGATGTCAACGTCTTTTCCTTTTCCTAGTTCTTGTACATTTTACTTGATAATCCAGATTTTTTTCCCCTTCTGGTGAGCATTACGTTTCAGTTTTTGTTTATTTGTGTTTCACAGGGGAAAGTTTTATTATGGATTCGGATCCACTCTGGGAATCTATTTAGAGGGAAAACATACTAATTAAATAAATGACCTGCATTCAGCCCTGTGTTCTCCTTTGGCTTCCTGGCCTTTCAGAAAGCCAGAGTAACTCAGAAAAGTAAAAGAGGGCAAAAAGGTTCCCATGATTAACCAGGCTGAAGGCCTCCTTGGCATCAATCACTGTGTCACAAGGTTGTGGAGAAGGCACATGGGATTTCTCCTGCTTCTACCACCCGCTCTGTGTTTTCAAGGAAAACAGAGGCCTTGTTAACCTCCTAAACATTAGAGTGCTTTTATTTTTCTACTTGTGAGAGATGCCAGATGAGCATGGGATGCTAATGGACAGGCCCTGTGGTTAAGAATATTATGGTTGTGACAGCAGCTACTATTCTCAGACAAGGCATGGATTATACAATGATTAAGAAAATTCCAGGAATCAAGCATCCCATGAATGGTTTCATAAAATTGCTGAAGAATTCTTACCCGTTTCATAAAAACAGATCTCTGTACTGCATGCAAGAGCTGGGCAGATCAAACAAGATTACGCACCAAATTGATTATACCAAAAGGACAGCTAAGCCAGACAACTTTGGTCAAAAACATTTTCAGGCAACTCAAAGTGCTCCTTCAATAGAGTTTAAATGGTGTTTCTTAGGGCTGAAAATGCTGCATAGATACCTGTAAAGGAAATAGGTTAAATGCCAGAAATTGATCTGCCTACACGCATGCTCTACCACATGTGGCATAATAAAGAGCAGCAGACCTTAAAACATGTCACATCATGCTCTCCCACCTCTGGGAAGATGAGTCAGAAAATTTGCCTTTTGGGTACATCTCCCAGAATCTCCCAGGAAGCATGAGGAACAATTAATTAACTTACTGAGGGAAATTGTTCTCCTTTCAGCAACAGTTAAATACCTTCCTCTTTAGGCTGGCTTTTAATAACTAAAATTGAGTTCCTCTTCAATGCTGGGAATATGTTCTTTTAAAATGTTTTTAAAGGTTTTAAATGTCTAGATAATCTTTTTAACTATTATTATAAATGTAACTCTTTTTAAAAAATTGCAATCAGTTGCGGTTTTAGCCTAGTGTGTTTTAATTATTGTGAGTTGCCTTGGGTTCCCTCACCAGCCTAGAAATAAAACAAATAATAAATAAATAATGAATAAATATAGTTGGGCACAATACTGGGGTAGAAGCTAAATTAGCTCCTGGTCCCAGATAAAACTAGCCATGGAGCATCGCATCCGCTACATGAGGTCCAGTCCATCTCATCATCGACATTATCTTCTCCTGTGCTTTATGTTTTGCCTCACTGCAAAGCATGATGAGATTACAGCATCGGACTTTAAAACAAATTACAAATCACCTGGTGCACCATTCTATAAATAAATAAATAAATAAATGAATGAATGAATGAATGAATGAATGAATGAATGAATGAATGAATGAATGAATGAATGAATGAATGAGGTTAGAGATTCTGATACAATCAGAACAGGCAATGTTTAAGAGGAGAGGCAGATGCAAGCAGATACTCCTGAAATCTCCCACAAAATCCAAGCAGCCATGTCCAAAGTGTTGCAAGACATGGATGGAGGGAGAATTTTAGAATTGCTTGTTTTCACCTCATTTTCACTTTGTTTGATGGATACAGGAAGTCCTAATGATCCTTCTTACCTTTTCTCTCTCTTCTGTCTCTTTCTGGGTAGATGCAATCAGCCAAAAGCTAACCTCCCTCATAAGTATTATCTGCTTATCATTAGTTTCATTTCCAAACCAGAATGTTCTCCTTGATTTTTTTGAAAACACAAATCCCTGCCCCACCCTCATCCCTTCCTTGTCAACTTTTCAGCATCATGTCAAGTAGAATAGGAAATTGTTTATCTAGGATCCATAGCAATGCTGTGACAAAATGAAAAAGGAAGGGTCAGACGGTCCGAAGAGCATACGAACACAGCATCAAGCCTTTCCAACTGATGTGGGCCCCTTTAAAACCTGGTGCCATCAGCAAGAGTCCCAAGAGATGATGGTGTCTCTGTCACAAGGTGGAGGAGCATTTGTGAGGCATGTCACTTGCATGGTTCGTGATCTGTGTAGTCATCCATGTCCACGTCAGAATCAAAGAGGGAATGTCCAGTGTAATCGGTGTCAGGCGTTCGGGAAAAACTATTCTCGGTTCCTTCATCTTCAAATGTTTCTGTCCTAGAATAAAAACTGAAGTCCTGCAATGGTTGCATCTTGCTCCCTTCGCTACTTTCTTCCGATTCATACAGGGTGTTGTCGTCATCATGGTGCCACTCCGGCCAAAACTTTCTCCTTATTCTCTCACAGTACATAGCAAGGTTAATTAGTTCTCCTGCAAAACATGGTTGAAGCCAGAAGGGTAGAAAGAGAGAATGGCATGATAAAGTTGCCAAACTGTAAATGCCCTAATCAGAGTCACAGGAAAAGAATAGGAAGAAATCATTGTCATCAACCAAAACAATTCTCAAATGTGGAAATTTCTGGCTATTAGATGCTTGAAACAAAATATATGGACATGGCTAGTCTCATAGCTTGTTACTCAAAAACCTTTTTGGGGCATCACTCTGGAGCATAACAGATGGACCACTGTTTGACCCAGAACATTGGCTTCCTAAAGCCAGAAGAGTATATTGGTTTGTTTCTTGAGACTGATACCTGGAGAAGTTCAGGGTCAAGTCTCCCTTGAGCCATGACACTCAACCTTGGGTAATTCACTTACTTTCACCTTGGCCTTACTTCATAGGGTTGTTGGGAATCAAACTAGGAAGGCAGAAGCCCATGTACAAGTGCCTCAAGCTCACCATAGAGAGGTGGGTATAATTCACAAGATAATAAACCATAAAAGGAAGGGGGAACACGTGTGAAGCTTTATATGAGGAAAAAAACACCTGAAAGAAATGAAACTGTTGGGTGCATCCAGATCACCAGATTATGACCCTGTTGTAAATACTGAGAATTATTTTTTTTTCAGTTCAAGATATATAGCAAACACAAAAACAAAAATAAGACTAATAGATTTGCTTCAGTGTGATTTTCCATGAATTACAGTCTACGTTTTGTCTCTCCTCTACAGGCTGAAACAGACTGAAACCGCCACCTCTTTGAAAACAGGACAGGTCTGATTTCACCATGGTCATAACCCAGGACTGCTTGTCTGCCTGCTCAGGAGAAAGAATGAAGGTCGGTCCTTCCAAAGAAGAAAGCTGGGGAGGGAATCCTAGAAGACACTGCACTTGTCCCACCACACGTCTGTGGGAGAAGAACCATCCCCCCCCCTTCGACAGCAGCTGACATTTCCTTTACTTCCACAGCTTGAGAAAGTCACATGGCCTTCATCCCCAGACAGGAAAGGCTCCATCTTCAAATCCTTCACACAACAAGATTACCCCACCCACCTCTGCTGACACGAATACCTGAAAACTCAAACATGATCTCTTTAAGCACGGATAACTTCTTGGGAGTTGGAACTGAGGCCAGAAATGTTAATCTCCCTAAAGCCTATTGAAACACTCATTGGCTATAGCAGTCTTAGTCTTTCAGAGCATGATCCTCCCCTAGTTCTACCTAGAGCTCTCTGTACTTTTGCTATCCTGACCTTCTCTCTCTGCATGTCCTGCTTGGAATGCAAAAGGTAAGAATCAGCACCCATTACTGATGTAATTGTTTTTTCCTAGCATGAACGCAAGTACCTTCCTAATAATAATTACAGTATGTGCTATCAAGTCAATTCTGACTTAGGGTAACCCTTTTTTTTTCTCTAGGTACAGAAAACTCAGGTTTACCATTCCCTTCTTCTGGGGATGCCCTGGGACTGTGCAGCTTACCCATGGCCACATAGGCAGACTCTCCTCTGACAAGGTATCGTGGGGAACTGAACTCCCAACCTGGGGCAGGTATTGCAACTCACCGAGCTATCCAAGCAGATCAAGTTGGCACTAACCTCTCCACAGCATCTGTGCCAAAGGCATTCAGATGGTCTGGAGGCCAATATTCAGACCTCCAGAACTACTGGGGACAGCAATAGCTCCCCAAATGAGGAAAACTATGAAAAATTCAAACGGAAAGTTGCCACAAGTCCACTTGGGGTGACTGGAAGATTTTGCACTCTGTTTTGTTGCAGACATTTTTTCTTCCATTATGGGCTAAAAAGTAGCATAGGGGCTACATGTGATCTTGGGGCCATGCCTTGCCCTCCCCTGTTCTATGCTGTGGGGTGTATGGTTCGATAAATCTTGCATTGAGTCTCTCCCAGTAACAGTGAGACTCAACTGAATTCTTGATTTAACATTGTTGTCCATCCTCCCAGCTCCTGTTCCTCATTTTTGCTAGAACCCTTTCCTTAAAAAAAAGAAAAACAAAGCAGCAGCAACAAGAACAACAGACCTCTGGCCATGCACCCACTAATAGAAACCTTACCAATACTTTGTGGAAGAAGGGTAGTCTTCTATGTACAACTCTCACTATTTTACATTTCAAAATACTGTACTGCACTGGCCTGTGCCTATGTGTGTAAACCTGTAATATAAATACTGTACATGCAAGAAGTGTTTGGAAGGACAGATGTACCACCAGGTGGCAGCATTGTATGAAAGAAACACCTCATTGCTGGCCAGGATCTCTGGAGGGAAATACTCTGAAGGAATAGTAGTTACTTTTACATAAATATAGGTGTGTATTTGTAGAATACCACGAAACAAATTTCTCTATATGGAATGCAAGCTGATG